ATTTTTTAAATGGGGGGGCCACACAACCATCAGTTTGACTAAATTTCAGAAGTGAAGAGTAAAGGACCAGAGAGATAGTGCAGGGGTTGAGATACTTACAATGTATGCACTGGCCCATACTCCATCCCCTGTACCACATATGATCCTAAGTCCAGCAGGAGTGCTACCTGAGTACGGAGTCAAGAGTAAACCCTAAGCACAGGTAGGTGTATCTCAAAAACCTAAATAAATAAACAAAACTTGCTTTAGAGCTAGGGAGTTTAGCTTAAATACAGCGGTAGGGCATTTGCCTTGCAAGCAGCCAGCCCAGCCAACCTGGGTTCAATTCCTCTGCCCCTCTCAGAGAGCCGGCAAGCTGCCGAGAGTATCTCGCCCACACAGCAAAGCTTGGCAAGCTGCCTGTGAAGTATTTGATATGCCAAACACAGTAACAGTAAGTCTCACAATGGAGACATTACTCGGCCCGCTGGAGCAAATCGATGGGAGGACAGTGCTACAGTGCTACATACATACATACACACATACATAACAACTGGAAGGGAAGGAGATAGTGTTGGGAGAGGAGGTCTTTTCATATCCCTTAACAGAGGAAGGTGTTTAAACCAATCCATGTAATAAAACCAACAAATAACAATAACAAACAAGGTTGGGGGGAGGGACTTGTAGCTGGCCAGTTGATCTACAGAATTGAATTGGTGGAAGGTGGGGGTTGTAAGGAAGAAGCATTAGGAGAGGGAGCTGGGTACACTGGTGAGTGGTGTGGTGTTGGAATTATGTGCATAAGAAACCACTATCAACATATTGTAAACCACAAAATCGTGAGCAATAAAAAACTTTTACATATCAAAAAAGAGTCTAATTTTTAAGTGTTCATTGAATATTAATAGATTATATTATTAGGAATATTAATACATTACCATAGTTTTTTAAATTGTATGCAAAAAAGGTAGCACAAAAAGATGTCATAAAATAATATTTTCATGGTCCTCCTGATAATTATATAAAAATGAATAAATAAATAAATGAACATGAAAACATCCCAAGGCCAAGAAAAATGCAGACAGAGCTGGAGAGTTATTCAGGATTGGGGCACAGCGACAGGCAGCCAGGCTCACCCCACTGTTCAAGCATACCCAGACCTGTCAGTCTTCTTCATTCTAAAACTTCAGAAGGAAAACCAAATTAATCACTAGCTCTCACTCACTCTGGAGTTGTAGATGCATGAAAATTCTAACCAGGGAACTGCAGAACTCAAGCTGAGACTGCAAGGGGGTTGTTCACATTCTATAGAACTTTAGTTACTTCATCAACATTCTTAAAGCATAAACTCTTCGTTTTCATTAAATTTCATTTCTTGGTGTATTCTTCCCAGGTTTTCCTCTCTATATGGATCCATATAACATACTAACAAGGTATTTTGGAGACCTCCTTCATAGGAGTGGGTATTAAATAGGTATGGTTCATGTCTGTCACCTTCAGTAGACTCTAAAGTTCATAATGGCAAGGATGGTGTCTGCCTCTGCCCAATATCTTGGACAGGGCCTGGCACTTTGTTAACCTGACAAATATTTACTAAATGAATGAACAGTAATGAAATATATATGTACATATATATAATATGTCAGTGTGCATATTCTGAAATAACATAGTCATGAGATTGGAGACAATGATCATTTTCCCTATCTCTCCAAGAAGTGAAGAGTTGCCCATTTTGTAAGCTAGAGAAACCATCAACACTCAGATTCTGGCGAGCTATTTTTGGCAGCTCTTCCTTACTAGAATCACACTGCCTGAATTTGTCCCCAGGAATCCTTTCAGTTACAGCAGATCTCAGGAAACCCAGTACTTTTCCAGAACCTCCTGTTGGGTAAAGGAAATGTACTCAGCTCCAGATTATCTTCACCCAGTGTATTTTAGCCCTCACTCATTATCTCATGAAAGGGTGGGATCTTAAAACTGTCTTTCATTTCACAAATGAGAAAAGGGGCTCAGAAAAAGATTAATAGATTGGCTTTCCTAATCCTTGTTAATGGTAGTGCTAATAAAAGAGGAAATAGAATCATCTTAAAATAGAATATTTTTTAATAATCTCTCATATGCATGTATATCAAATAATGTACTTGCACATAGCCAATAATGTAATAATGTTATTCATTAGAAATTATGACTATGAAATAAATTTTTAATGAAGTGAAAATATTTTACTGAGCAAAATAAACCCCACTAAAAGCATGCATATTTTATTTTAAATTAATATAAAATTATAGAACATAAAAATTAAACTTTTTAACAAAATAGGAGACTAACACTCAAGAATAGCCGAGATAAGTACCAGGAGGTTTACTCCATGGCTTGGAGGCCAGCCGCACACGCTAGGGGAAAAGGCAGCTCAGAGAGAGAAGGGAGCACCAAATAAAGGGTGTTGGGAGGATCCTCCCAGCATGGGAAATGTGTGCTGAGAGTAGACTATAGACCGAACATGACTGCCACTCAATGCCTCTTTTGCAAACCACAGCACCCAAAAGGAGAGAAAGAATAAAAGGCAGGGTGGGATGGGGGGTATGGGGGGTGGGAGGGATACTAGGATCAGTGGTGGTGGAGAATGGGCACTGGTGGAGGGATGGGTATTTGATCATTGTAGAACTGAAACCCAAGCACAAAAATTTATAATTCTACAACTGTACCTCATGGTGTTTCACTAATAAAAATTTTTTTAAAAAATTAAACTTTTTGCTGGAAAGAAAGATGGCGGCCGCACGGGAGCCTTGTGGACAGCAGGTTTGAGCCGGGGGTGGTGGGAGCGGCAGGGACCTCAGGGGAAGGGGGGTGTAATGGGCCGTCCTTCACGCCCGACCGAGGTCGCCAGCTGCCCCCCACGAGCGGCTCTCCGGCACAGCCACGACTCCAGGGCACAGAAACCAACCTCTTAACTATCTAACTTTTAATAGAAATTCTTCCAGGGTCAATAAGTAAAATAGCAGGCCGCGCGACATCCTTTTATTCTTAAACCAAGTTGTAGAAAGCAAATCATTTCACAACGCTGTTTTAGCATGTCTGACTGGGGGGGGGGGGGGGTCGTAAACTCTAAACAATAATTGTGCATCATCTTCTATCAAAACAATGTATCTAGTCAAAGTAGATAGAGTATTAACTAGAACTCATCTGCCTCACAGGAATTGGGAGGGGTGGGAGGGGGGGTTCTATTAGGGTTCGCGGTTAAAAATAAGTATTGGTAAAGGGAAATGTGTTTGATATTTACATGACTGAGACCTAAACCGAAAGCTCTGTAACTTTTCCCACGGTGATTCAATAAAGAAATAAATTATTAAAAAAAAATTAAACTTTTTCTTTGTTTAAATGAATCCTGACAGATCTCAATGCATGGAAGTCATAAGCTGAATTGTTTAGCCACATCACTGTTCCTAGAACATAAAAATTTAATTATGGCAATGGAAGTTAGAACATTGTAGCCTAGTAATAGATAAAGATGGGTTATGTGTATTTGCAAAGAATAATCAACCTGCATATCTAAAAATCTATGGATCTTGTTATGCATGTTATACTTCAGATTTTTTAAAAACACATGATCATATTACAAAGATCTTACTGCTAAGATTTTAAAAATATGTTTATTGCATTAGGCAAATACTCTTGATATTCTGTGAAAGCAGACTAGACATATATTTATATGGTTAAAGAAATATACCTATATGTGGGGGATGTATTTATGCGGTTTTTTCAATTATTTATGTAGAAAATTTTAAAGTGTGGGACAAAATATTAATAGTATTTGTTTCTGGTTAGTGAGAATAGAGGTTTTTTTATGTTTTACTGAATTTAAATTTCTTTCCAATGAGTATGTGGAACTTTATAATCAGGAGTTTCACTTTTTTAATTCCCGGACTAAGTTTTTTAAGTTCTATGGTAGGATTGGTCAGCTCCACACGGCAGAATAAACATCAGCCTGGAGTCTAAGGAAGTTTTACTTCAAAACTTGGTGTACAAATAGGTCTACTCGTATCTACACCTTAAGGCTATTTTGTGTAAGAAATAATACATATGAAATTCCTTTGCAGGTAAAACTTGATAAAGGTGCTATACAACTGATAAAGTCCTGAGACCTGAGAGAGGACCTTGAAATATCAAGGGCCTTTGTCTAAAGAGCTCTGGTTGGGATGAGAGAGATCTAAGGGTCAGGGAAACCATCATAAGCTCCACCCCACATCTCTCTTCTCCAATCCCTCTAATCAGTGCCTTAGTGTTCCCTCTGCGGATTAAATTTTCCTTTGTCTCTTAAGTCACACATGCAAGAAGCAGTTTGTGGAGGACAAAAGTCAAATGTACTTTTAAGACCTTGGACTTATCTCACATTCTTACAAAATGTGAAAGGTAGTCTATGCAAGAATGAGGCCAACGATTCTTGACACTTGTCCCAACCCCGGAAAGGGCAATTTCCATACTGGACGACAAGAGTTTGTAATGAAAAGGTTTCCATGATGCCCCAAAATAGAGACAGAGTAAAAAGAGAGGTGCCTGCCACAGAGGTAGGGGATTGGGTGGGGGTGGGGTGGAAAATGCTCACTGGTGGAGGGAAGGGTATTCGATCATTGTGACTGAAACTCAATTTTGAAAGTTTTGTAAGTGTATCTCACGGTGATTGCATTTAAAAAAAGAAAAAGAAAAGGAGGCTCCTTTTGCGTTCTTAGGCTATTTAGAAATCTTTCCATATCACAACAGGCAACCTACCCCGTTTTTTTCCGCTGCATAGTATTCCATCTCACCTTGGTACTGTCATTGGAGACTCTAACAAGGTAATCAAATTTAAACGACCTGGATTGTTTTTTTTTTTTTTTTTGAACGTGAAAGTTTGGCTGAAACTGGGACCAAACACATCCAGGGCTCGCCTCCAAAATATCCTTTGACCAGAAGGGGGAACACTAGCGGCAGGAGAAGAGGGGGGAAATGCTGGGAAACGTCCTCCACCAATGGGGAAGCTGTCGGGGCCTGCAGGGGATTACTGCCGGGTAGGAGCTCGGTGAGGGGCGCCCCGCTGCTGGAGGCCGAACCCGGCGTTTCCACCCGCTGCATCTCGGACGCACGGAAGCCCGCGGGCTCGCGCACGGTGCGGCGGTGCGTGACGCTCGCGGGCTGGAAGCCCGGGTGGGTCCCCCGCAGGCTCCGACCCCTGGCGGCTCCCGGGCTCCCGCGGTCGGGGGGCGTCCACGTGGTGACCTGCCTGGGGCCGGGTTCCCCGCGGCAGCTCCTCCTCCCCGCCGCTCGCGCTCGGCTTTCTGCAGTATCACGTGCAGCCGCGCTGGGTGCAGGATGGCGGCGGCGGCGGCGGCGGTGGGTGTCAGGCTCCGGGACTGCTGCAGCCAGAGCGCCGTGCTCCTGCTCTTCTTCTCTCTGTCCCCTCGGCCCCCGGCCGCCGCTGCCTGGCTGCTGGGCCTGAGGCCGGAGGACACGGCGGGAGGCCGCGTGTCCCTGGAGGGGGGCACCCTGCGCGCGGCCGAAGGCACCAGCTTCCTCCTGCGCGTCTATTTCCAGCCCGGGCCCGCGGCGCCCTCGGCGCCCGCGCCCGCGCCCACCCTCTCCGCGGGCGAGAACGGCACCGGCGACTGGGCTCCGCGGCTCGTGTTCATCGAGGAGCCCCCCGGCGGGAGCAGCGCGGCGCCCAGCGCCGTCCCCACGCGCCCCCCGGGGCCGCAGCGCTGCCGCGAGCAGAGCGACTGGGCGTCCGACGTGGAGGTCCTGGGGCCCCTGCGCCCCGGAGGCGTGGCGGGCTCGGCTCTGGTCCAGGTGCGGGTGCGGGAGCTGCGCAAGGGCGAGGCGGAGCGGGGCGGTGCGGGCGGTGGCGGGAAGCTCTTCTCGCTGTGCGCCTGGGATGGGCGCGCTTGGCACCACCACGGGGCCGCCGGCGGCTTCCTGCTGCGCGTCCGCCCGCGCCTCTACGGCCCGGGTGGGGACCTGCTGCCCCCCACGTGGCTGCGAGCGCTCGGGGCGCTCCTGCTGCTCGCCCTGTCTGCCCTGTTCAGCGGCCTGCGCTTGAGTCTGCTCTCGCTGGACCCGGTGGAGTTACGGGTGCTGCGGAACAGCGGCTCGGCCGCCGAGCAGGAGCAGGCGCGCCGCGTGCAGGCCGTGCGCGGCCGGGGCACCCATCTGCTCTGCACCCTGCTCCTGGGCCAGGCCGGAGCCAACGCGGCCCTGGCCGGCTGGCTGTACGCCTCGCTGCCGCCGGGCGTCCGGGGCGCCGGGGATGACTATGTGGACGCGGGAGTTCACTTCCCGTGGCTGCCCGCGCTCGTGTGCACCGGCGCCGTGTTCCTGGGCGCCGAGATCTGCCCCTACTCCGTGTGCTCGCGCCACGGACTGGCCATCGCCTCGCACAGCGTGTGCCTGACCCGGCTGCTGATGGCCGCGGCCTTCCCCGTGTGCTACCCGCTCGGCCGCCTGCTGGACTGGGCGCTGCGCCAGGAGATCAGCACCTTCTACACCCGGGAGAAGCTGCTGGAGACGCTGCGCGCCGCGGACCCCTACAGCGACCTGGTGAAGGAGGAGCTCAACATCATCCAGGGCGCCCTCGAGCTGCGCACCAAGGTGGTGGAGGAGGTGCTGACCCCGCTGGGCGACTGCTTCATGCTGCGCTCCGACGCCGTGCTGGACTTCGCCACGGTCTCCGAGATCCTGCGCAGCGGCTACACGCGCATCCCGGTGTACGAGGGAGACCAGCGGCACAACATCGTGGACATCCTGTTTGTCAAGGACCTGGCCTTCGTGGACCCCGACGACTGCACGCCGCTGCTCACGGTCACTCGCTTCTACAACCGGCCCCTGCACTGCGTCTTCAATGACACCCGGCTGGACACGGTGCTGGAGGAGTTTAAGAAGGGTGAGCAGGGGTCAGCCCCCACCCCCAACCCCCGCCCCAGCGCTACCCTTTCTAAAGCATTACCCGGTGGGAAGAAGGGGAGTAATCGGATTCCCCCAGAAACTTCTCTCCTAGGATGCCAAAAACTCCAGAAAGGCGCCTGGTTCCCTGACTCACCCGCTCCTTTCCGTTTGCGTCCTTCCCCCCCTCCGAGCCCCAAGCCGCCTGCCTCCACTGGACACTTGGCGCCCAGGCTGCCCATACAGTATTCCCTCCTCCCCCCACCAGTCCTCCTGCCAACCAGGTTCCCTGTACTTGGACTCGGGACAGCCTCGGAGACCAGTCTGGTTCCCCGATTAGGGGAGGGATGACCTCTGAAGGTCATCCGCGGGAACCCCTACAGGTTTCCCCATAAAGCAGCTTTGCCTTTGAACTCCTCGCCAGCGGGAAGCTTACCATTTGTCGGATAGATGCACTGCTGGACAGCTCCGGCTGCTGACAAGCCTTGATTTCCCTGGGCAGAAATGTAGGTCTCCCTAGCTTCTCTCTGGGTCCTCATTCTGCCCTGTAGGTTACATAGAGTCAGCGCCAGGCATTTGAGCCCTACTTTCCCTCTCTGGAACTCTCTATTAGCCATTCATTTCCCACGCGTCTCAAATACCCAGGTTGGAGATTCAAAGTTAACTTAAGGTACCAAACTGCCCTACTTGTGGGAACTGTGATTACAGGAGACTGTTCCAAAGGAGGCATCCTCTGTACACATGAGTAGGCATGTTTATTAAAAGCAAAACAACAGGGACTGAGATGTAACTCAGTACTCAAGCAATGCTGTGTGTTTGGCCACCGTTCCTCCTCATTCCCCCAAATAGAATGCCATGAACATAAAATAATCTCCCTGACTTTAAGCATCAGTCTTTAACTTTAGCTTCAGATGGCTAGCAGAGCTATCTATTTTTGTTTGTCAAAAAATTCAGTCTTCATATTACTCTTTAGGTCTTGCAAACAGAAATCTGGAGTCATCCTCATGCCATGGTATTTTTAGACAAATGAAAATAATTGCATTAAGTATAAAATTATAGCCTGAAAGGAAGGGGTAGTCTAGAAATACTTTCAGGAGCTGGAGAGATAGTATAACGGATAGGGTGCTTGCTTTGCATGTAGCCAACTCTGGTTCAATCCCCAGTATCCCGTATGATCCCAGAGTGTTTAATTTATAAATAATTTAGTATTTACATATAAATGTTACTATAGATATGTCAGTATTTAAAAAGTACTTTTATCTCCAGACTTTGTATCGGTATCATGAGAAAGAAGGAAATTAATATACATTGCAGCTAGATGAGCCCACTAGCTCCTCTTCTATTCTGCCCTACTCCCTGTGTGATTCATTTCCATTGTACTCTGAAGTTCATTCATCCTCTCTTAGACTTATATACATATTTAATATGAGAATGAAATCTTTTGGAGCATGAAAACTGTACACATCTACGGCTGATGTTGGAGTTCAACGCCATGCCTTGCCCAAGGCCCTAGTTTCCAACCTTGCCCAGAAAAAAAAATGGCTGCCACAATCAAATGCTACAGACACAGAATTTTATTTTCTTGTAGTTCTAGAAGTTTATAGTCCAGTTCTAGAAGATGTTGGTTGGTATAGTTTCTTCCGAGGTCTCTTTGCTGCCTTCTTGCCGTTTTCTCACTTACCCACCCACGCCTCGATCTGTGTGTATTCACCCCTGGAATCTTTCTCTGTGTTCTAATCTCAGATTGGACAAGGGCCCAATCTAGCAGCCTTGTTTTACTTCCTTTTACTTATGTTTTACTTTACTCTTGCATATGATAGGTCACAGTGAAGTGCATTTAAGATTTTCTCTCATTGTCTTTTGCTTCCTACAGATATTCTGGAAGGTGTGTTGGGGTATGGTGTTTGGGTTACACCAAGCAGTATCCCAGGGCTTTCTGGCTCTGTGCTCAGGGATTACTCCTAGAGGTGCCCCAAGGACTGTCTGCAGTGCCTCATGCAAGGCCTTATCCACTGTTCTATCCCTCCAGCCCAGAAGACATTTTTAATGAAATGTTCATAAACTCATTCATTTACTCATTTAATATGTACTGAGTATCTATATAGTGGTAGGCAACAGGGAAGGTAATAAGGCTGCCCACAAGAGTTAACAGTCTACAAGGCATGCAGTGTTAGAATAAGGCAGTCTTCAGAAGAAGAGATTGTGTTTCACTAACCTGTGAATGTCCAGCACCCTGCATGGTGCTTTGCCCTCTGTGGACTGCTCCAAATAAGTCAGTATTGATCTGAAATGAGACCTGTTGCAGAATTTCTAAATCTAGACTGAAAAAGACTTGGAGTGTTCTGGTGAATAGTTTGTAATTAGGTAGATCCCTAAAGAGAAATAGACCAGAGCAGTGAACCAAGGGAGCTGTTTCACATGCCTTCAGAGCTTTGCTCCTTGCTCAGGGTGTGGTCATTAAGCAGCAGCTGGAACCTCTCCTGGAAACTTTTTTAAAACTACAGAATTTCATGCCTCACTCTAAATCCACTAAATGAAGATCTGCATGTTAGCAAGCTCTACAGCCCCTGAAGACATTAAAGTTTGAGAGGCATTGCCTCCAGAGAACCCTAATTAAGAGTGATTGGTAGATTTTTTTTAGGAGAATATAGTAGAAGTGAGTAGAATGCCATGAACATAAAATAATCTCCCTGACTTTAAGCATCAGTCTTTAACTTTCAGGAGCTGGAGAGATAGTATAACGGATAGGGTGCTTGCTTTGCATGTAGCCAACTCTGGTTCAAATGCCGCCCTGCGATATCTTATCAGGACATCTTTTTATCATCTCATTCCTACTTTGGACAAACTTGCAGGCTATCGAATGTAGCCTGCCCACAGGGCAGAGTCTGGCAAACTCCCCGTGGCGTACCAAATATGCCAAATACCAGTAACAATGATGGGTCTCATTCTCCTAAAGAGCCTTGAATATAATCTCAGGGTTAGGATGAAAGAGACGTTACTGGGGCCTGCTCGAGGCATTGGACGAATAACAGGATGATGAAATGAAATGAAATGAAATAGTAGAAGTAATAATGATCCAAGGTGGGTGTTCTCAATCCCAGTCATTTAAAAAAGGGTTCATTTTCTCTGATTATGGTCATTTCATTCATGGTTATGCTTGTACAATGAATTAGGAGAAGAAAATCTGAATTGAACTTATTTATGTTTTAAAAAAACTTGCGGGGCTGGAGCGATAGCACAGCGGGTAGGGCGTTTGCCTTGCACACAGCCAACCCGGGTTCGATTCCCAGCATCCCATATGGTCCCCTGAGCACCGCCAGGGGTAATTCCTGAGTGCAGAGCCAAGAGTAACCCCTGAGCATTGCCAGGTATAACCCAAAAAATAAAAATAAATAAATTTTTTTAAAAAGTTGTATTTATTATAGCCCTTCCATTTCCATTATTTTTTTGTAGCTCAAGTGTTTTTAACAACCTAAACCTCTTTGGAGGTAGGAGAGGAAGTCCAGGTCATGTGACTTCAAAGTTCTTGTCCAAATGGAATTTTATTGTTACACTTCCTATCCCTTCAGGTCTTCAGTAGTAAGAAAGATAGAAAAATTATCTTTCCAGCTACCATGCTGACTTTACACAGGGCAGCAGTATTTCTCCCCATTGGACTATGAGTTCCCTAAGAATAGAGAACGAATCTTTCTTGCTAGAGTTGTCAGCACCAGCACCTGTCCACCATAGCTAGAAAATGAATAAACATTTGTTAAATAAATGAGTTTGATTGGTTCTATAGTTCTGTGTTTAAATGCAATGAATGCTATGAATGCTAAGTATAGAATAAATACCACTGTTCCATTGACCACAGTTAGTCTTTCCTCTTCCTGAATTCAGCATGCCAGTTAGTAAGACAGTCTTCCTGGTTAGAAACCTCTTTTTCACCACCACACTTGCTGTGGTTGTCACACCATTCAGTGCATTTCCTGCTTCCTTAATCCTCAGGAGTTCCTCCCTTTTTGACAAGAAGGAAAAGGGACACAGAGTTCCACAAAGATTTGGTTATGTGATTTAAAATTTTATATTGTCAGTGAGAAATAATACAGGTGAAAGGGAAGGTTTCGCCCTGCATGTCTGAGGCCCTGGGTTAGACCCTGGGCACAGCAAAAAAATAAGAAAAGTGATGTTTTAGTCTGTCTTAGTCTGCTTGAACTGTTATTTTTTAGTGGCATAAGTGAATCCTTAAACAAAAATTAATTTTCTCCTGTTCTAGAGGCTGAAAGTTCAAGATCAAGATTCCAGGCAGTTTAGTTTGTGGTGAGAGCTATCTTCCTGGTTTGCAGATAGTCCCTTCCTGACTATACATGGCCTTTTCTTATTTCTTTCTGCTTGTAGAGAGAGGGAGATAGGGAAGGACAATAGGAAAGGGGCAGATTTGGGTGTAGAGAGAATGAAAGCGAGCATGAACATTTACTCTGAATGTTCCTCCTCTTCTTAATAAGTTACCAATCTTGTTGAATTAAGGCCCCACCCTTATGATCTCATTTAACCTTCAGTCTATAGACACCCCACTGGAATTAAAGCTTTGACATATTAATATCGTATTCAACATATTCATAGAGAGGAAGAATGGGGAGAAACACAGCCTTTCAGTCCATAACAATCACTGAAGTCTGTCAGATATTTGGAACAAAGCCTCCTAAAAGTTTGCCCTTATTCCATCCAAATTATTTTGCTTATCTAGATATAAATTAGTCTACCATTTCTTTCTCTTATGTTGGTCACTGATTTTTCTCATCAAATAGTTATGGTGTGTAGGCACAGTGCAGAATACCAACCGTATGGTCTCTGTAGAAAGCTTTGATTCTAAAACAAGAGACAGAAATTGAGCAAGTTGCATAGTGATTAAGAGCATACGTTTTAGTGCCAAACTGCACACTTACATCCTGGCCTGCAGGAAGTCACTTAACTGATCTGTTAATTGTCAATAGGATAATAATAGTATCTACTCATGAGATT